GCCCATCTAGGCTCCCCACCAGCCAACCCCTGGGGACAGGGAGCGGGGATATGGCCTCACTCAAGGGCCTCTGGCTCCTCCGGGCATCCCCCAGAGCATCTCCTGGAGCCGAGGGCCTGGCTCCCCCTTCCTGGGTCTGCGGTTCCCCTCTGCGTGCGGCCGAGGTGCAGGGTTGCCAGCTGGATGCTTTTTGATGAACAACTACAACAACAAAAGTTTGTTTATGGAAAAATATGAAGCAAAGAAAGCCCGGGGGGGGGGCGGGGGGGTCCTGACCCCGTGGGAAGCTCGGGGGGTCGGATGCTGAAGGGTGTCCTGGGAGACAGCAGGGAGTGCCGTCGGGGCCTCCGGGACAAGGAGAGATAGGAGCCGGGTATTTTGAAGTGGTGCTGGATCACCCTTTGGTCTCTTGACATCTCTGGGCCTCAGCTGCTCTACAGAACAGGGCAGGGGGTGGTGGGAGAATCCAGAGAGCTGATCAGCAAGGGGTGTGGTTGGCACAGGTCTGACGCCTTGCGACACCCCACCCCACCCACCCTGGACTAACTTATAGGTGGGAGGAGAGCTCGGTGGAACTTGGCCTGGCGGAACATGGCCTGCGGATCGGGTCGTGGAACAGGAAAATGGGGGGGTCGGGAAGAAGTGCAGAGGGTGGCTCATAGAAGGACCGGTGTCCGCTCCCCAGGGGAGGCAGAGCTAGGAAGGGCCGGCCTTTGGGGAGGCTCATGAAGGGACCTGGGAACACTCTGGACTGTATTTGTGACTCTTCTGTAAATCTAAACTCATTCTCCAATAAAAAGCTTATTTTAAAACTTTCTAAGGAGGGCTCTGCTGTCTCCAGGAGAGGGGACGCAGGGCCAGGCCCTTCCCCACGACTTCCTGTTCACCTGGCACTTCACCCCAACCACACTGGGTTCCACCGATCGCCACACACTTTCTGGGCCCCCTCTGCTCTCACTGCCTTCCCCGATTCCACCTTGTAATCACCTTGTCCTTGGTGGGGTCTGGGAATGGCTTGGTGGGTGTGCAACCTGTGCAGCTGTACGTGGCTGTGTTCAGAGAGGCCTGCACTTGGCAGAAGGGCTGTTGCTGTTTCTAAATTCTTAATATTTGAACAAGAGAGCCTGCATTTTCATTGGTACTGGGCTCCCCAGTAAGAGTTTTTTATTTTTTTCTCTCTCTGATAGGTGGATGCTGATCCAAAACAGGGAAGGGGGGGGAGGCGTGGGAAAAATGGAGACTCTTTGGGCAAAAGGGAGGGAGGGTGGGGAGGGGGCATGGGGGCAGGAAAGATGGTGGGATGAGAAGGACGTCGTTACCCCAGGTACAGGTAAGACGCATTATAGGGTGCGACATACATTGTGTGCAGCCAGAGAAATGCAAAGTTGTGCCGCAGCTGTGGACAATCCATCCAAATAATCTCTATTTATGTATCTGCTTTAATTAGGTCGTATATACCTAATTAAAAGAAATGCATAAATAGAATTATTATGTTTTTAAAATTTATTTTGATTTCTTAAATTTGTCCCAGTAAGTTCCGTAGCTGATCCCGGCACGATTTGAGGGTCCGGCTAGAAACTGGCGCACATTTGCAGTAAGTTCCTAGTTTAACGCAACGCGCTCGACGGACGGACTTATCATCTCACGGTTCTGGGGGTCAGAAACCTAAAATAGGCCGGCTGCCTCCTCCCGCGGGCTCCGGGCGGGCCTCTTCCTCACGTCCCTGGCCTCTCAGGCCGCCTGCCGCCTTGGTTCTTGGCCCCTGGTTCCACTTGCAAAACCAGCAGCAACTGTCCACTCTGCCTCTGCCTCTGTCCTCCTCTTTCCTCGCTCTGACCCTCCGCCCTCCCCCCTCCCTCCCAGGACCCTTGTGATGACACGGGACCCTCTTAGATGCTCAGTGCAATCTTATCCCCAAATCCCTGACTTCCTCACGTTCTGCCACGGTGGGGTAAGGGGCGGTGTTCACAGGTTCCTGGGGTTAGGATGAGGGCATTCTTGGGGTGCCGTAAGAACTGGGAGGGCAGGGCCTCATCGGCTGCCCCCACAGCCCCCTGACCTGGCACAGCGCTGGCATATAGTAGGTTCTCAATTAGTAAATGGTTGAATGAAGGACTTTCATGAGGCGTCATGTCCGGCTGGTGTATCTCAACAGGGGACCAGGGGACTGGCTCCAAGGGGCTTGCACGGTCTCTTTTTGGGGGCTGGAGCTCTACCTGTGGGTGGTGGGCCAAAGTCATCTCCCAGAAGTGACAGAATCCAGGAGAAGGTGGCTGTTCCCTGGGGCCGGCCCTGTGGCTCCTCGTCTCTCCTGGCCCGTAGCTGGACTGGGGTGGCCTTGGCTGCCTGATGGAAGCCCATGTGACGCCCCCCCCCCCCACCAAGCTGCTGCCTCCTCTTCCCCAGGGTCATGGCTCTGCCTCTGGGGGAGGCAGGAGCAGGAGCCTCCCGGAGGTTCAAGGCCCCCGGCTGAGATGTGCGCAAAGGGAGTTATGTCACCGCGTGGAGACGCAGGACCTGGTGACCTGGAGGTCACACCCTAGCCGCTGGCCTTGTCCTCAAGGTGACCTCGGGGTGTTTTTCCCTTCTGGTCTTGGTAAATCCTGAGCACCAACTGCATACCAGACATGTGCCAAGGTAGGGACAGAGCAGGGACAAGGCACTCTGGAAGCTGAGTCTCCTGGCGGGGTGGGGAGGGGGCACTCAGCCTGAGGACCGCAGAGAGGGCAGAGCGCTGAGAGGAAACTGTAGGTGACACTGATGGGAGAGGTCGTCCCTGGGAGAGAAGCAGCCTGTTGGTGGAGCCCCCTGGGAGCTCAGGAGATGGGGCTGGGGCAGAGGGGGACGGGGGACCCTGAGCCTGTGCAGCCTGGAGGAGCCGGGCTCTGGGGAGGGGGCGGGGGGGCCATCTTTTTGAGGGATGGCACTGGTGGCCAGGAGTGGTGGCTTTAAGTGGCCTGAGAGGCGGGGAGGGGTGTGGGGCCATGAAGCTGGGAGAAGCAGGCTGGTGTGGACGATGCTCTGGGGTCAGCCCATCCGGGTGCTTGAAATGAGAGCCCCTCCCCAGGAAATTCCCCGCGGGGGTCCCCCAGCAGGCCCCATGCAGGCTCCACCCCAGGAGGAAGGGTCAGCTGCTCCTCGGCAGGGCGTCTCCCCAGCCAGGGCCGAGGGTCGGCCTCCTTCCCACACCATCTGCCTGGAGATGAGGCCATCAGGGATGTCAGTAGCCGTGGGCTCTAGGCAAGGCCCTCTCACCTCACCGTGGGTGACCTCCCTCCAGGGTCCCCTCCAAGCCCCTAAGAGGCAGCTGGAGACTCTCAGGGTCCCCTCAGGAGGGCCTCATGTCCCAGAGCTCGGCTGTTCCTGCTCTTCACCCAGGGCAGGCACCGCTGACCCCGACACGGTGCCAGGGGGCAGCTCAGAGACAGTCCCAAGCCCTGACTAGGGAGGACACCCTGGCCTAGGAGCCGGAGCGGGCAGGCCTGGGTGTCCACCGGACCCAGCTCACCCGCCATGCAGCCCCTGCCCCAGCTGGCCCCTGTTCTGGCTGTGTCTTGCCGTGTCCTTCCCACGTGCCAACAGCTACAGCCCGGGACCTGCCTGGGCGCCCTGCCGTTCCAGACCCTCTGGCACATCCCAGGACGCCTGTGACCCAAAGAGCTGAGGCTCCGCACGGCCAGGGGTCCCTGGACCACAGTGAGCCTTGCTTTGACTGGTGTCTGGCCTGTCGAGGTCACATGCTTCCATATCACCTGGAGCCTGTCCCCCGCTGATTGACTCTGAGGCCTGGGTCCTCCACGGCTGGCCCCCGGTCCCTGCTTCTCCCTGTGCTACCCAGGGTGGACTCGCCCCCCAGCGTCTCCTGGGTTTGAACTAACCAGGGGATGGAGTAGGGGAGCCCTAGGCGAGGTCCTTACGGATGTGGCCTGGATGCTCCAGGAAGCCCTCGCAGACCTGCCCCTTCCTGATGGGCTCGCCCCTCCTCCGGATCCCACAGGAACACGCGCCTTGTGGGATGAGGGTGTCATGGTTTATCAGTAGCAGCAACCACAACTCTGTTCACTTGTTCACCATCCAGCGCGTATTTGTTGTGGGTCTGCTCTGTGATGGCCACGGGTTTGGTGGCCAAGGACCTGGCAGCGGGTACTGAGGGCTAGAAGGCTGGGGTGTGGCCATTGGCCAGGACGGGCTTGGAATGGGGGCCGGATGGAGTCATGGGCGGCAGGAAGAGGCATGACCCGGGGGGTGGGTTGCTAAGATGGGGTGGAGGACGGCAGGGAGCCCAAGGGCCCACCCTGATGGCCAACAGGAAGATGGCAGGGGCCAGGAGAGCCGCGGGGCAGGGGCTCTTGGTACCCGTCGCGCGGAGCTCCGTGGCCACCTCCTCTTCTTCAGCTTCATCCTCAGAGCGAATCTTAGCAGGGGACATTCCTACTATCCTCACTCTGCAGACGTGGACACTGAGATGCAGAGAGGGCCCGACCTCACCCAGGTAGCCGGCCCCTGTGTTTCTCACCTCAAAAATGAGGGCTGAGGTCCGACTCATGGCCGCGCGCCAGGGCACCCACGGGGCTCCGCCTACCCCAGCCCTCAGCTGGGACCACAGCTCAACGACTCCCTTGACCTCCCGGAGGTAGCCCCACATGCGATCTCCTGGTATCACCTGTGCTGCTGGAACCACCCCTGTCCCTTTGGGGCATTGGCAAGGGACAAGGGTGACATGTGTCTTTGTTAGTGTGCCCAGCTCTGGAGCCGACCATGGGACCAGCCTGGTGTCAGGAAGTGAGTGCCCCGTGGACACCCAGATCCAGGGCCAGCTCCGGGCCCCCCAGTGCTGTTGGGTTGTCGTCTTCTCTGGACGCTCCTCTCCCTCCCAGCGGGTGAAATGTGCTCCTTTCATTCCGTCCTGTGTCCCGCCTGCCGTGGAGGCCATCGGGAGACTGACAGAGGTGGCAGGAAATCCTGGGCCTCCCGGGATCATCCAGTCACTCAACACACACTCACCTGGCAGCACATGGTTATTAAAAATACAAAGTGGAACTGTCCCTCTGACCCAGAACCACGCTGTGGGACTCTCCTGGAGGACGGGGCAGACGGGTCAGGGCGGCGCTGCTGGTTAGAGAAGGGCTGGGAACAGCCCACCGACCGTCAGCTGGGGGTGCGTTGAGGTTCATGGCCAAGGGGCAATGTGGACCTCTCTGTGCTGTAGCCCCCGGGAGGCTGCACGTGGAATTAGCCGGTTTCTGTACAATGTGAGCCACGCGCTCGCAGAGGGATGGCTGCAGAGAGAGTGCGTGGAGGGAAGCCTGGCACTGCCACCTCCTGGGGGGGGGGAGCTGGGGACAGGGAAGGGCCAGGGAGCCCGTGAGGTCCCAGGAGGGGAGGGGGCTGCGTTTTCTCCGCTCGTCTCCCTGCTGATCTGCTTGTTGGAGGGATATAGATATTGCTTCTGGGGCTCAAAAGGAAAAATCCAATAAAACATATTTTTAGAAACGTCCCGAGCTGGGCTCTGGGCTAACGGCGGGAGAGGCCGCCTGTGTCGGAGCGTCCTTTGTGCCTGGAGCCGCTGGGCTCCCGCAAGCCGCTGTGAGTACCAGGCGGGGCCTCTGCTTTATCACCTGAGGTGACCAGGGCTCAGAGAGGTCGAGTGACTTGCTGGGGTGGGAGGGGGCACAGCTTGCCAGCATCACAGCGGGCATCTGGGGACAGAGAGGGAGGCGAGATGGAATCTTATGTCACATGAGTCAGTGGCCCTGCAGTGGGTGGGGGTGGGGTGCCACACATTGGGCCCCGTAGGGAGGAGCCTTGGCTGTCTCCCGGGGGCACCCACCCCTGCAGTGCTGGCTGAGCCAGGCTGCCCCTGGTCCCCAGAGCGAAGGGAAGGGCCACTGCTCATGTCTGGCCGAGGTTTACGTTTCCCCGACTCAGCGCTCAGCTGGACCCGAGGAGAAAGGCAAAGCCCCCACCCGATCCCCGCCTCTCCCCCAGAGGGGAGCTTCCAGATGTGGGTCTGGGTCAGAAACGGAGATCCGGAGGACAGCGCTTCCCTCTCCCCACTCCCAGAGCCACCTCAGGGTCCCAGAGCCCAGGACGTGGCCAAGGAGACCTGTGCCAACTGGAGGCAGCTCTGGGAGGGGCAGGGACGTGGCTCGGCTCTGGTGACAGTTGCCAGGTTCCGTTTCTCTCCAGACTCTCAGCAAATGGTCCTGATGTTTACGGCACAAAGCAGGCTGGGGGGCTCGCTGGGGTGTGCAGAGAACCGACCCGCTCACCCCCAAATGCAGCCATGGTACAGGGCAAACGTGGAGAGAGGCTGGAAATATACTACCCAAGGCTCCGAGTCACGTGGGGGAATATGGCATTTGTTACCACTGCCATGGTCCACTCAACAAACGCTCTGTGAGTGCTTGCGGCACCTTGGGCACGTTGTACACCCTGCCTTTAGTGTGTGGTGGTGAGGGGGGGAGCCCCAACCTCATGGAGTGTGTATTTGGGGGAGAGGGAGCAAAAACCATCATGTGAACCAAGGAAGGAAGAAATTGGCATTTGAGTTGAGCCATAAATGATGAGAGGAGTTAACCTCGCAAGCTCTGGGGGAAACCATGCTCCAGACGAAAGGAACAGTGCATGCAAAGGCCCTGGGGCAGGAAAGAGCTGAATGAGTGTGAGGAACAGACTATGAGGGAGCAGAAATGAGCTACAGGGAGGGGCTGGGGCTGGCTGGGGCTCAGTGATAGAGTGCTTACCTAGTATATGTGAGGCACTGGGTTTAGTCCTTAGCCCCATGTTTAAAAAAAATAAATGAAATAAAAATATTGTGTTCAATTACAACTAAAAATACATATATATTTAAAAAAAAAAAGAAATGAGCTATAGGGAATTGATTGTCAGGGGTTGGGGTTGGAAAAAGCAGAATGATGTGGCCTCATTTTCCATAAAAGATCACTTTGGCTTCTGGACCAAGGAGGCTATCTGAGTCTGTTTTCTGTTGCTATAACAGAATACCTGAGACCGGGAGATGTATAATAGAAAAGAGTTTCTTTTGACTCACAGTCCTAAGGGCAGGGAGGTCTGAGTGCATGGTCCTGGACAAGGCCTCTTACTTCTTTAACTCATGGCAGAAGGTAGGAGCACAAACAGGCACATGTAAAAGGAGGAAAGAAGGAGGAGTGGTCTTGCGTATCAACCTGCTCTCAAGGTAACCGCCCCAGTCCAAAAAGAGTGAGGTCCTGGGGAACTTCACCCCGACAAGGAAGGCATTCGCCCCTGTTAGCCACCCAAGCAGGCCACCCTCCCAACGCCCAAGGGCCGTTGAACCTCAACACAGGTTTGGCCAGGACAAGCCACATCCAAGCCACATCCAAGCCAGAGCCGAGTGGGGGCGGAGTCGGGGCGGAGTCGGGGTGGGGATTTCAGGTGGTTGTCCGGGTGAGAGGTGGGGGGTGACTGGAGGAGAGAGACTTGGTTGAATTCAGAACATTTTAGAGGATGAACCAAGAAAGGACTCTCACGGCAGTCCCCCGGGAGTTTGGTCTGAGGAGTCGGGTGGACAGTGGAGCCAGTGACCGGAGAGAAGCAGGTTTCGGGGGGTGGGTGTTGGGAATAAAGCTGGGTAGCGTCAGGGCTCTCATGGAGGAGGAGAGTCACTGGAGGGGGAAGATGAAGAAGCCACATGTCACATGTTGGGGACCCCATGAACCTAGAACTGCTGCTGCTCAGAGCAGGAATCCGCGGCTCGTTGCTCACGGTGGGAGGTTCTGGTTGTGACCTCGAGGCCTCCCATCCACCTGTCCTGCTTCAAGTGTCCTGGACCTGGCTTCTTTGCCTCCAGATGTTCCCTGGTTCCTGGAGCCCGGCCAGCCCTATCGGGTGGAAAGTGAGAGTCCTGAGAGGCGAACTGTCTGGGAGCAGCCTTCATGGCTGATGGGGAGATCTGGTGTATAGACACCCCAGCTCCCGCGCCCCTCAGCTGGGAGCTCTCTGGTCTCCTGAAGTTCCCCAGTGGGACTGAGCACCAGCTGCCCTCAGAGGTGACCTGCTCTGGACCAGTCCCCTCCTGGATTCCTGTCTTGGCTCACTTCCCCCCGGCTTCCTGGGATCCTGTACAACCCAGGTGATGCTCACCACCCAATCCTTCTGGAGGAGATCAAACTACTACCCGACGATCCTTCACACACGCCTCAATCCATTCTCTAAGTTCTGTCAACTCTCCCTCCATCTTTTTTTGGTCGTGGTGGGGGGTACCGGGGATTGAACTCTGGGACACTCAACCTCTGAGCCACGTCCCCAGCCCTATTTTGCATTTTATTTAGAGACAGGGCCTCACTGAGTTGCTTAGCACCTTACTTTTGCTGAGGCTAGCTTTGAACTCGCGATCCTCCTGCCTCAGCCTCCCGAGCCACTGGGATGACAGGTGTGCACCACTGTCTGAGTAGTTGGATGGACAGTTACTGCACCCAGCAACTCTTACTCCAAAACATACCAAGTCCGTGTAGTTCTCAACCCTCCCCTGCCCTGGTCCATGCCACTGGCATCTCTGCCCCAACTGCAGTGACCTCTTCATGAATGTCCCTCCTTCCTTTCTTACCTCCTTTATAATCTGTTCTCCACCCAACAGAGGAATCTGTTAAAATTTAAATAAAGTCATGTTCCTCTTCTGGCCAACACTTCCCACCACTTTTCCAGAACACCAGGAGAGAATGTCCAATGACCCCTGTGGCCTCCAAGTGCAGCACCGAGTGCCTAGTCCAGCCTGTCCTCCATCCGTGTCTGAAGCCACCTCCTCCTCCATCTCTCAGCTCCGGTTCTGCTGAGAAATCCATCTTTGAGCTTCCCCAGGGCCTTTCCCGACGTGGTTCCTTTCATTTGGGTTATTTCTTTTTGCAACTCTGTCTCTTTCTTGTGGACCCAGCTTAAACCTTGCCCTCTTGGAGAAATCTGTCGTCCCCATCACGGGGTCGACAGTGACCCCACCCCACTCTTCCCTCAGTCCTCCTGGTTTCTCTCAGGTGCTCCTCACCATTTTGGACATTGCCTGCTTGTGGCTTCCTTTGGTCCATCTGCTAAATTTCAGGCTTCATGAGATCAGAGACCACGCCTGTCGCTCACTGCCAACACCTGGTACAGTGACTGTCACATGGTAGGTGGGCAGCAGTGGTCCCTCTAAATAGAAACACGTAGATCCGTGTCCCGGGAGCCCAGCTTGAGACACACCTCTCGGCACTTGGTGACCCAGCGGGTACTTGGTATTCGTGGGTATCTCTTTCCCTGGAGAGGAAAGGGGCTGTGTCCTCTTCAGCTCGGTGGCTACAGTCTCTGCCTCGGAGAGGCCCAGATTCTAGAAATGGATGACCCGGGTTAGAATCCCAGCCTGGCCTCTTGATGTATCTGTTAGCCTTTGCTGCATAACGAGCAATCACCAAAATGTAGTAACTTAAAATAATGGAATATGATTTTTCATGATTCTCAGGGTGAGCTGGATGGCGCCATTGCTGTCTGTATCTGGCCTCGCTCACAGCTCATGGCCGGCTGGAGGACCAGCAGAGCTGGAGGGGCCACAATGGCTTTCTTCCCCCATTTTGGTGTGACCACTGGCTGCAGTTATTGGCTGGGTGGCTTCAGTTCTCATCTTTCAGTATGGTACGTAGGGCCAGCTTCTTCTTACCAAGCAGAACTGGGGAGTATTCCAAGTCACCAACATAGAAGCTTCTAGAGCATTACTGTAGTCAAAGTAAGTCAGAAGGACAGCTGGGTGTCGGGGAGCAGAGACTCCACCTCCACGTGGGCAGAGCAAAGGGAATTCCTGGCCATATTTGATCTCCCGTGGTAGCCTGAGAAGTCTTCACCTTTCTGTGCCTTGCTTGCCCCCGTGAACTGGGTCTCAGGGCATCTATTTCCTAGAACCCTGTGGAAATTAAACCGACCGCCCATCCAGAGTGCTCGGCATGTCCCTGTCCCTTAGAAAATACCCTGTGAGCAGGAACCACGGTGACTATCACAGGAATTATGGTGGGAACTTGGTCATCCTCAGGCGGATGGCGAGTGGATGGCTTTTGATGTTCAAACAACATATTGTCCCCCTGATTGATCCGGTAAGTTATTTCATTTCCTGGGATTTAGAATAAACAGCAGCTTGTTTTCTGTTGAGTTCAAACACCTTGATTTCCAAAGAGACCTGACCTGTTGCTCAATTTACTTTTTCATTATCTGTATTTGTCTGGGAAGAGGGCGGGAGGGCGAGGGCCACGCAGTTCTGCAGACTTTGTGTGTGAGAAGTTACACAAGTAAGTGTGCGCTCGCTCTCGCTCTCTCTCTCACATACACACGCACACATGCACAGCTGCCCCTCTGCACCCTTGATTTAAAGGAGCCAAATGTGACAACCACAGCCCAGCCCTCCCTGGAGAGGTGAGCAGCAGACGCGCTCGTGGTTGGAGCCCGAGGGAGGGGCTCCCCTGCCGGCCCCTCCAAGGCAGAGCCTACCTCTTCCCAGGTCCTGCTTCATACCCCCTGGAGTGAGAGCTGTCCCCAGGCCACCATGGTGGGGCTGAGAGCTGTCCCCAGGCCACCATGGTAGGAGTGGAGGTCATCTTCCAGGCAAGGATGGCTTTGGAGGGCACTGTGCTCAGGGTTGGCCAGGTGAGCTGTGAGGAGGTGGGGTGTTGCCACTGGCTAGTGACATGTTTTCCTGCACCAGCCCAACTCTGGGCGTGGAGAGGGGACAAAGAGGAGAGGTGTGCTAGGTTCCGAGTTGTGCTGTAACAAGCTACCACAAACCCGGGCGTGGACAACAACAGGAACATATCCCCTGTCACTCTTCTCGGGGCTGGAAGCTCAGGGGTGGGCGGGGCTTGCTGCCCACGCCGTCCCCTGGCCTCCCATGGTGGAGAAGCCAGATCTTGGTGTCCTCTGGCTGGTGGCTGCGACATTCCCACCTTTGCCCGTGTCACTGTACGGTCACTTTCTTTGTGTACGTCTCTGTGGGACCTCTCCTCTTCTTCAAAGGACACTAGTCATCAGATGTAGAGCCCACCCGAGTCCAGTGTGACCTCATCTGAACTTGGTTACATGCGCAAAGACCTTTTGGGCGGGGTCGCCTGCATATGTGCCCAACACCAAAGTGGGAGAGAAGGGTAGGAAGGAAGAGGCTGTTCTGTGGAACTCCAGGGGGCCTGGGGGAGTCCCACTGAGACGTGGCCTTCCGTGTTATGTGAAGGTGTTTGTCAAAGAGGGAGCACAGTGTGTCGCTTTTAAGCACATAATCACATGTGCGTAAGCCTCATTTGCATCCTGGGTTTGCACATGTTAGCAGATCTGAATCAGGTTGGAAGCATCTGGAATTCTCAGGACTCACAAGTCCAGGATGCCTTGAATTATCCTGCTCTCTGAATTATGGGGTGTGTGTGTGTGTGTGTGTGTGTTGTTGATCTCCCTCTCTAGAAATATAAGCTTTTATGAGAATACAGGCCTTTTTCTCTTTGTCTTTGTGATGGGTTAATAAGCACCTCTGCTTTCTAGGGCCGCTGATGGCATGGGGTGCCAGGCACAAGGCATGGCTCCCCAAGCCTTGCACACCGTTGAGCCTTCCTGCCTGCCAAGACCTCAAGCCAGGTAGGACCAAGGTCATCTCGTCCTCATGACCTCTCCAGGTAGGAATGTGTGTCCCGACGTCCTGAGACCCAAATGCTCCCAGCAAGGCAGTGTGACCAGATGGGTTTGTGAGACCCGTCCCCTCTGGATGCTGAGGAAGCTGGGGGTGGGGGGCAGGTGTAGGCTCAGGAGAGCCAGCAGGGAGGCGAGTCTAGAAGGCCAAGGAGAAATAGGGTGGTGTGGACGGAGAGAGAAGTGAGCTGCTTCCAGGGCTGCTGAGGAGCCCTGTGGGGCTTGGTGAGGCTGGATGTGGAGAGAGGGACAGGGATGGCACCTGGCTTCTAGTTGGCACCACTGGACGGACAGCTGGGGACCCCAGAGGGAAACCAGGTGGTGGGGGAGAAGCCTGAATTCAGTTTTGGACGAGCTGAATTTGAGGGGCCACCAAGGCGGCTCAGGTTTGAACCTCTTGAGCATACGCGGTGACAGTTTTACCAGGACGAGTCTCCCTTATCCCCTCCCGAGCCTCAGCTTCCCCATCTGTAAAAGGGAACACCCCCCCAGGTGATTCTGAGAACCCTGAGTGTGGATATATGCAGACTGCCCACCCCAGAGCCAGGCACCCCTGTGGGGGAAGGATGTGTCCCTGTTTCTCAGCATTCCTCAGAAGCAACAAACACACTTGACCAACTGACTTAAGCAGAAAAATAATTTACTGTTTCTGTCACTCACAATCCAGGGAGTATACCTGGCTTCCCTCCAGCTGCAGCTGGGGCTCAAGCATTACCCCAGGGGTTCCATGTCTTTGAGGGCTTCACAGGCACCTTCTCCATGTCCCAGTGGCCATCAGCTGGGCACAGACAACCATCTGGGGTCTTTTTCTATAGTTGGGGCAGAAAAGTCTCAAGGAAAATTCCCATTGGCCCACCTGGGTCATGTGCTCATCCAAGAGCCAATCAGTGTGGCCAGGTCTGGTTCCTGTGACTTCCTTCTTCCTGAAAGATGGCAGCCGCGCTGCATCATGGTCCCCATCTGTCCCATGGGGATCCAGGATGGGAAGTGCTGAGAATACTCCTACTGGCACACAGTAGGGATTCAGTTTATGGTGGTGGTTTCTCATTGAAATTCTGGAGGTGACACACCTGAATTGTCCTCCATCTACATTTTAAAGTCCTTTAGAGCCTGTAGTCCCAGCTATTTAGGAGGACAATGGCAAGAGCCCAGGACCTTCAGGGTCCTTTTTAAATGTAGCCTTCACCCCAGCGATTCCAAGTTCAGTGGTGTGAAGTTTTCCTTCACCTCAGACTGGCCAGCTTGGGAAGTGGACATGGCAGGTCAGTCCTGAGGAGATTGAGGCATCCCTCCTGGCCCCCGTAGGAGGTCCCAACCGTCATCCACAAACAGGTCCCGATCACCCCTGTTAAGACCTGGAGACTCCCCATTCCCAGGGGAATTTCAGGACCTGTGGCATCTCTCCTCAGCCGGCTCAAGAAAACAGGTTCTGCAGAGTTAGACAAAGACTTGTGTGGTTCATGACATCACCCAGAACATTCTGAAACCCCCCAGGGGAAGCAGGGATGTGGACACTCCTTCCTACAGCCTGGTTCTGATTGGAGCTGCCCAGGAACTCTCGGCCAATTAGCAGCCACACTGCAGAGCCTGGAACTTTATAGCTTAGCAACGAGAAATCTGGAAGAACTCTGGAATTAATTTAAGGAAAGGGGAAGAAAAACATCAAGATGGGAATTAGCAGCCAAGTAATCAGGCTGTGCATTTATATTATTACCTTTGTGGCCAAGACAAGGAATGAATGTTTTTCAATGTTAATTACCAGCAGAGCAGGAACCGGCGAGCCATCTTGACTTGAACTTGGGCTCCTATTTTCTGCCTGGATTTTTTTTCCTAAGCTAGTGCCAGGTTAGGGATGTGAACAGAGCTAAGGAGTGGGCAGAAGAGGGACACTAATTAACAACAAAAAATACCCCTGATCCAGGCTGCCACTGGTCATTTGGGGGGATGATCTTCCATCCTGTGACATCATGAAGATCTTCCTGAAGTTGAGAACAGGGGGTCCTAGTGGCTTCTGTGATTTCAGGTGGAGGTCGGGCCAGAAGGGGAGACTTGATATTAATAGTTGATTAGATAAATCAACCTGTGATTACAGTTATACTGGTATCTTGGAAGAAAAGTGGTGGGGGTGGGTGGGGGGAGTCCTGGGGAGAGGGACTGTCGGGAGGGAGGGTGTAGTTAATGCGTCTTAGGTGATCCTGACCCTGCTTGGAATCTTGTAAGGGTGAGGTTGGTTCCAGAGGGAGGTTCGGACAGGTGGTCAGGGACAAGCCCACCCAGGGGTTCCTGTGCCTGCAAAGCTTCCAAAGCAATAGAAAAATCTCAATGGGGAGCCACCAAGGTTTGTAAACTGAGGCTGAGGGTCATCCGATTGCAATGTAGAAAGGACACTCTGGCTACTGGGGGCAGGACAGATGGGAGGGGACCTAAGAAAGGTGCTGAAGCCTCTCATGATGTGGGTGGTCGGCTCGCAGGGTACCAGCAGCATGGAGCCCCTAACCCTCTGTGAGGTCTCCCTGGCTCTCCTTAGCTGGCTGCATCCCAGATCCTTGTTTCCGGACATGCCTGCTTTTAGATGCCTCCCCTCTGTGGAAGGGAGTGTGAGTGAGGCCGTTGCATCCCACAGGTGGGGCGATGGCCAGGACCTTCCTGATTTAGCCTGGAAAGTCCCCAGTCCCACGCTCATCAGTCCCAGGCAAACTGGCACAGCTGGTCACCCTACTCTGGGGCAGAAAGAGTTGGCTTCCCCCACTCTTCAGGGCTTCCCTGCACTTGTCCCCAAGGAGCCTGGACATGGGCTTAGCTGCTCATTCACTGTGTGGCCTCAGACATATGACTTGGCCTCTCTGGGCCACTTTGTTCCTTTGCAAAATGAAGCCGGGTCTGGGGAGACTTTTGGCTTCCTAGTAGCACTGATTTTCTGCTGTTACTGAACTTCAAAGCGTAATCAGGACACAGACCCCAGAGCATAAGAGACAGGGGCCGTGTACCAACAGAGTGGCCTGTGTGGGTGACCTCTCTTCTCCAAGCCCACTGCTCCCTCCAGAGATGGGGACTATGGTCGCTGCCCCATGGAAATGGAAGCACCAAGCAAAGTTCTTCCAGTGTTTGCCGTAGCGAGGTGATTAGTAGCTGGAGGGTGGTGACTTCGGCTCATGGAAGGTGGGCTCGGGAGTTAGGCTCTCTAAGGGGTGACTGCCAGTTTGATTCAAAATCTGGGATCTGACCTTCGATAGGGTTACCCCTGCCTCTCAATTTGATCCTAACTTTTATGTGGTAATGAGGTCACCCTTCACTCTGGGGGATCTGCTGGATTCCACCAGGTAGAGCTAGATCCTCCTCCCCTCCCTTTGCCATGGATCTCCCTTTGCAAAGATCTGCTGAGTTAGTTGAGGGACCGTTATACCCACTTTACAGATGAGGAACCCGAGACTCGAGGAGGTTAAAGGTCAGCATTTGAACCTGGATCTGATTCAGGGTCTCTTCTTCCCACTAACTGTCCTCTCTTCCTTCAGGGGCTGCACAGAGGCAGCAAGAGTTAGGGGGACAGGGTGCTGAGAGGCCGCTCTGGTCGGGGCGTCCTCTGTGAAGACCCATCTAGGGGACTCTCCAAAGGGAGCAGCCGCATGTGTCCTGCGTGACCCTGGCAGCCTGGCCTGACCCTCTTGGGGGTGGGAGGCTTCTGGATGCTGGTTGCCATGGAGACGGGGTGGGCTGCTTAAAGTTGTATATACTGAGCTTTGCTGCCCAGGCTGGCCCCAGAGATGCAGGCCCCGGGTGGCCGATCAACCTGATCCCTCTGAGAGAAGGGCAGGAAAAGGCTAGTTTTCCTTATTTTTTTTTCTTTTTATTTTGAAAGGCTTCTTGCACACCCAGGGAGGGACAGAGTGTGTGGTCAGGAGCCCAGCTACGGCAATCGCCAGCCCTCAGCCGTGGACACCTCCTTCCCCTCCTCCCCTTCTCTCCTCCCAGACTATTTTGAAACAAATTCCTGACATTGGTTATTTCTTTTGCAAATATTTCTGTATATGACTCCCAAGGAAAAATTTCTTCTTACCTCCTCCACGCCTATAAACAGTGACTTTTTACTGACCTGTGTCCCCAGTCCAACAGTGATTTTTTTTTTCTTTTTTTGGTACTGGGGATTGAACCCAGGGGCACTTAATCCCTGAGCCGCCACATCCCCAGCCCTTTTTTATATTTTATTTTGAGATAGGGTCTGGCTAAGTTGCTCAGGGACTTAGCTAAGTTGCTGAGGCTGGCTTTGAACTCATGATCCTCCTGCCTCGGCCTCCGAGCTGCTGGGATTACAGGCATGCGCCACGGTGCCCACGTGACAGTGATGTTTTTAATATCAGCAAATATCTGATCAGGATTCCAATTTCTGTAGTTGTCTTGTCGATGTTTTCTATATAGTTGGGTCCAATCGGGATCCAAATGGAGCTCATAGATTTGGAGGATATTGAGAAACAAAGTCTTCATGGAAACTGTCCCCATTGGCTGGTGTGTGTCCTTCGTCTCTCTTAATCTTTAGGTTCTTCCCCTTTCTATGTCTTCTCTTGTAATTTATTTGTTGAAGCAACAGGGTTTTGTGGAGCTTCTGGGGGTCTGGATTTTGCTTGGTGCGCCCCCTGAAGGATCTTAAAAACGTTCTTCTCTGTCCTGTGCTTCTTATAAGTTGGTAGAGCTGGAAGCTCACTTAGACCCCTGTTTGATTTCTCTCTGTTTCCTAGTCGTTATTTGGGATTCCATTCATTCAGAGCCCGAGCTCTGGTTAGCTTTCTCCATGACGTCAGCCCCCAGCACCACTGTGCGGTGACTACACTTGTTGATGTTCAAGCTGTCCCTTTCGGCCAAGCCTCTTCGTGTGGTCTCCTGTATCCTCGTGGATTTGACCCCAGTAGTCGTCGACAGCTGCCTTGCTTCCCGATGACAAGATGTTCCCAGTTCACCTGCAACATCTCTTGCCGCAGATCTGGGAACTGGCTGCTTCTCCACGGAGCCCTGAATTCTAATGGACAGTGGTGTTTAGAGACCATAACCCCAGGTGACAGGGTGCTCACTGCACACACAATGAGTCGCTCTGTCTCACTTCTCCATGGAAGGAGCCAGCAAACACGTGTTCCTGTCTATAAGGCTCATGAGAGCTTCAGTTCAAGCCACAGGTCTTCACCTCATCTCTGTGATCTCTCAGGTGCCTCTGCTTTCTTCCATGACATGTGATCAAGTCTGGTGTCTAAAAGCAAAGCCCCCCCACTGTGTCTCCCATCAAGCTGGGAGCGTGTGAGGAAGCCCTTAAGTCTCCCGTGGGCGTGAGCCTCGGTTCTCCCACGAGGCTGCTCTGGGAAAAGCCCACTTCCTGGTCCCCAAGAGACCACGCAGCCCCTTCCAACATCCTCAGTGCGGATCCTCCCATCCAGCCGGTTTCCTTCCTGGCTGCACACTGGAGTCTCATGCGGAATTATAAAACCTTCCGATGCCTGTCCCTGTCCACATAAATCACAGGACAGAATCTCCGGGGCTGGAACCCTATAATAAAAAAGTATATATATTTAAAAAAAAATTTTTAGTTGTAGATGGACATAATATTTTATAATTTATTTTATTTATTTATTTATATGTGGTGCTGAGGATCGAACCCAGTGCCTCACACATGCTAGGCAAGCGCTCTACTCGCTGAGCCACAACCCCAGCCCCCCAAGATATATATTTTTAAATGAAGTCCAGGTAATCGTAACGTGCAGCTGGGCTGAGGGTCACTGTGGTAGTCCTTGCTTCTCAGCAAAGTGGATAGTAGACCAGCTCTGCCGTGGAAGCCCATTAGCTTCAGTTTGAATTCTGGGGCTGCCTATTTCAGGCTATGAGATCCCTGGACCAACTGAGCAACAGAAGTTTCTACAATCACCCAAATGATCTAAATATGCACTGTTTGGTGTGGTGGCCACTGACCACACAGGACTACCGGGCACTTGAACTTGTTGCTAGTATCCCCTGTCCAGTGAATTTTTAAATATATTTAATCTTATCTAATTTATGCCAGTGGCTAGCAGCTTCTGTCTTGGACCAGGTCGCTCTCGAAAATCATCTCCGTCCCCCAGCTTCCTACGGTAACACAGGGAATAATGAAGGGTTATTTCACCGGGAAATTGTGGGGATTAGAGATAATGTATATAAAGTGCCTGGTGCACACAAGGCAGTCCATAAAACACTGCTTATTTTCTTTATTAACATCAGCCTGCCACTCTTACAAAAAAAAAATAAAGCATGCCTGGATAAATTAGGGCTCAGAAGCACCCCACCACAGAGGCTAAAGATCCCAAGCTGTTCCAGAAAAACTCTTGGAAAACAGCCCTGAGTTGCAGAAGTCCGATTGCAGCAGGAGGTGATCGGTTACAAGGGCTCCGTTTCATTGCAGCCCTCGCCGCAGCTCAATAAATTAAGCAATCTCTCCAAATAACATGTTGCTTTAATCCCCTCCCTTGGCACCGGTTCAAGTTGTTTGGGGTTTACATCAGCCCAAGCCCTGAGAGGCCACTCACGGTGTCCTTGTGCCTCTCTCTCCCCTGATTCATCAGCCGGCTCTGGAAACAGCGTTGCAGCCTCCTGATTGGCAGGAGAGCGGATGCCAAGCCAAGCAGGTCTCCTTTTATCAGAACTGGAGTCTCTTCTGTCCTCTGGCCTTGACACGTCGCACGGTTCATCGGCTGAGATTTCTGGCAGGTCCATCTGCAACCGAGACAGAGACACCTCTCAGCGGCCGGCCGGGTTCTGGGCGTGGACAGCCAACGCGCCCTGGCTTTTCCATTCCCATCCCTCTCTCTCTAGTGGTTTATAATCTCACAGCAGAATTTCGTTTCCCCTAGAAACTTGGCATCGGAGGTGTCAGCCTGGGAACATATTTGTTTGTGTAAATTAAAAAGAAGAATATGTTTTGACCATATTTAACTTCTAACCGTGCTGGAGAAATAAATACTGGCTCTCACAGTGCTTCTTGCTGCACAGTTCTGGCTCACCTCCCCAAACCCTGTCTTTGTTTCTAAAACCCAAAACTACCGAACGCTCTGAATGGCTCTTCTCCTAGGAAAGCTACAGGATCAACCTCGGAGGCCACGTCCACCCCCAACCTCAGCCCGCAGTAGAAAGTTCAACTTACCTCTTTGGGAATTTTTGGCTTCCCGCCACACGGCATCCTTGCTGGGGTAGGAGAGGGTGTCAGAAACAGGTCCCCCCACGTGACTTGTTCAGGGGCTCGAGAATGCTACTGTGTTTTTAAAAGGCACTGTGCAATAGTGTAGATTTCAAATGCACATATTCTCAGAGTGAGAAATTGCACTTCTAGGAATTTATCCTATGTGAGTAAAGCAAAATCCTGGAGCGAACACAAATGTTAGCCAGTAGGGGACAGGTCAAGTGTGGTGGGATGCTGGACCCGGTTAGAAGGATGAGGTGGGGCTGAATGCTGTGTGGTCTGCAGATTATTTTGAAATACCCTTGATCTTTTTTTTTTTTTTTTTTTGGTACCAGGAATTAAACCCAGGGGTCCTTAACCACTAAGCAACACCCCCAGCTCTTTTAAAAATGGTTTTATTTTGAGATAAGTTCTCCCTGAGTTGCTTAAGGTCTTGCTAAGTTGCTGAGGCTGGCCTCTAACTTTTGATCCTCCTGCCTCAGCCTTCCCAGCCGCTGGGATTACAGGCATGAGCCCACCGCACCCTGCTGGATCTTCTTCACATTATGAGCAAAAAAAAAATGGCACCATGCTTACAAAACGCATGGAGATTGTACAAACTGCTCACAGTGGCTACTTCTCAATGAGGTTGGAGTTAAGAGAAAAATTGCATATTTTTATTTATTTCCTACGTTATTCTCTTTTGTACTATTTCCCTTAACCATAGGGCGGTGTAACTTTTAAATTTGGGGATAATTAAAAAAACATAAAGTGGTGCCTAAAAAAATCACTTCTACACTCTGAGTCGGACCAGTATAATTCAATGATACTTCTTTTTATTACACACCTGTCAGGAGAATGGGGTGGGGGGACGGGCAGGGACGGTGTCTGGCTTGTAGATGACGAAAGGGCTCACGGGGTCCACCTGGAGCTCAACAGGTGGATGAGACCCTGCAGAGACCGGAGGAGCTGCGAGGCTTCCTCTTCTCGCCTCATTGAGTTCCGTCTCCCTCCCTCCTGGCGCCCTTCCCAGGTGAGCCGTACACCCCTTCCCGCCAAGGTTTCCGGTGTGATGCACCCTGGGGGGTCATCCCAATACTTGGGGGCTCTGAATCTCTGGGTGAAGGACATTGTGAATCCTGGGGCTGAGGTCCAGGTGGGCACAGGAGGTGAGGCTCACTGGGTTGGTGGAGGCTGTCCTCCGAGGAGTATAACGGGCTCTGTCTCAGGCTGGCCAGATCAGCTGTCACGATGGGCTGCCGGCATCTGTCATGGCCACCTGATTCTGTTGGGCATCCCTGGTCCCCTGTGGACCGCCTGCTGCTCAGCGGGTCTCTATTTTTCATACTGCAGCCCTGTCATCCGCTGGGGTCTCAGAGGACACTCAGAATCCAGGACAAAATGGTGTGGCCAAATAAAACAACCGTGAGCTCTTAGGGGAGAAGGCTTAGGACAAACGGTTATTTATTTATATATTTTTTAAGTGCTTAGAACCCACATGTCACCCGGGGTCATCTTATTTTTGGAGATTCAAATGAAATGGCCTTAAATTTTGTCCCACATGCCATAGGGGACCCAGCAGTCCTTGGAAGCTTTCCTGGGATTAGAGGTGAGAGGTGTTTCTGTCTCCCAGGCACCGAGGGCCTAAATTCCTGCATCTGCTGAATCAGGGCTGCTCCACCTGTGGCTGGCCTCGGGGCAGGGCTGGCTTGGTGGTCGTGGAACCCATGCAGTCACAGGGTCGAGCCTGGCTTAACGCTCCACTACGGCCACCTTGAACTTCTTAATGTTTGAACCAGAACTCTGCATATTCATTTCACCCTGGGTTCCCCCAAATTACATACCTGGTCCTGCCTCATTCAGGGTGATTCTTGTTCCATCCACAAGTGACCCGCTCGAGGCAAAAGGATGACCATCGCCCACCCCGGACGATGGGAACCTGATGGTTTGGACAACATTTTCTCTACTTTTAGATATGGTGGGAAATTTCCATAATACAGTTGAAAAGACCTGGTCCCAAAGTTCCTCAACATGTCAAACACAGGGTTGCCCTATGACCCAGCAAGTCCACTCCCTAGCTCCATGCCCCAGAGAAATGAAGATTGTGCCCACACAACACACAAATGTCCAGAGTTATATTATTTATAATCACCCAACGTGGAAACAACCTTTATGTCTATGAATCGACAAATGGAGAGACAAGTATGTCCATACAACAGAATATTATTCAGCCACAAAAAAGAATGAAGTTCTGATATGTGCTACAACATGGCTGAACTTTTGAGACCCGTCATGCCATGAGAAGAGAGCCTGACCCAAAGGAGCACATATTATATGATTCCACTTATATGAAATGTCCAGAAAAGGCAAATCTATAGAAATGAAAGTAGATTAGTGACTGCCCAGGGTCAAGGGTGCTGGGGGATGTGGGGGATGGGGGTGGACTGCTATAGGGCTCAGATTTCTTTGTGAGATGATGATAATGTTCTAAAATTCACTGTAATAGGGCTTGCGTGATCGAGCATGCCCAAAGCCATCGAACTGTATATCTAAAACGTGAATGGATGTTACGGGAATTACATCTCAATAAAGCTATCAACAAGGGACACCCTGTTCCCTGACTCTCCTGACAGTCATCCTCCAGCCCCAGGACCCTCCTTCTCCCTGCATGCACGTGCCCTTGACGTCCCCTGCCTGGAGACCTCTCTGTACCTGAAAACATTTTCATTCTCAATTCAAAGGGCTTTCCACAGTCAAAGTGCCCTCTGTGGTATTATTCTAAACTACGACACTTACTTTTCTCTTTAAAAATTACTGCGGGAACTGGAGTAAGTCCCCCAGGGTGTTCTAGGAGAGCAGTTAGTCACTAGTAAGTCCTAATAGGTGTGACTTCTAAGAGCTTAGAACTTCCCCGAGGGAGCTAGAGTCAACTCAATCTCCCCAGAGACAGGGGCCATCTGCTCAGAAATGTGACTCTGAGTCACCTCACAGGTGAGGAGAGAACATTGCAGGGGCCAAGTCACATTGGTCTTACTGAAAGGCAGGCTGTCAGTGTGGAACGGAGATGGGCCACCTTCGGGCCACTCCTTGTTTTTATAAATAAAGTTTTATTGGAACACCGGGCCACTGCCATTCATTTCTGTACTGTCTGTGGCTCTGCTTGAGTTACTGTGGCAGAGTTGAGCGGCTGCAGCAGTCTGCAAAGCCTCCAACAGTTACGAGACGGACATTTTCAGAAAATGTCATGGACACTTGAGATGGGAGATTTGGACTGGAGCCCCAGGCTGTCCATGCCAGGTGTGAACTTGGACAAGTCTGGTCATCTCTTCAAGCCCATTCTCTTATCGGTAGGCAGAGGCCAGTGTTAGTACCTCCCATCCCTGTTAAACTACAATGACTTCACACACGTAAAGTGCTTGGTGCATGCAAAGCACACAACTCACGTTGATGGTGATGACGTTATTTAGGAAACGAAGAGTGACACTTACTTCATAAGTTGTCATCTGAAGTGACGGATCACGCCTGTGAGAACGTTTGTTATTATTATAACTATCCAAAAGATTTTTGAGATGGTTCTTTGCTTCTTGGTGATATTTATACTTTGGAGTTTTGAGAGTGTGGGTGAATTTTAATTTCAGAGGGAAAAGGATCCTTACCTTAAACCCTCTCATTTGACAGACAGTCCAGGAAACTGACCCCTGACCTCCAGCTGGGTCTTGAACCTGCTCAGAATGAAGACTTGAGGATCGTCTGCTGGGCACCCAGCCTCTTCCCCAGTAACGAGTCCCTGGGACTCTGGCCTGTGTGCCCTTAAGTACTTGTGTTGCCTTCAAGCTCCCACCAGCACCTGTGGGACAGTCACCCACTGCAAGGTGCTGGACAGGCCCCGGGCAGGGAAGACCTTAACAGACGGGAGCCTCGGCACTCCCAGGGCTGTCTGGGAGCCAGCGGGGGTGGCCAGAACTGAGACGGCAACAGCAACCTGCTTCCCAAGAAGGCGTCGATGAAGGAGGGTGGTTTGGGAGTAGCCTCCCCTTCACCGGCTTTGGCTCACAGCTCTTAACTGAGCACCTGATACATGCTAGGACCCAGAGACAGAGCCATGAGGGAGACACGGGCTCCACCCTCTGCGGCCTTCTCATGGGAGCAAGAGAAAATGGGCAGCACAATCTGTAACAGGCCTTCAGTTCTCCTGGGGATTCCAACTGTCCTGCAGACGCTGTGGACGGACCCCGCTGTGTGACATACCGACAGCTTGGGAAACAGGCTTGGCAACCTTCCTGATGTCCCCAGCCTCTGTGGTGACCACAGTTCATTTTATAATAATAGTTCACCTTGATTATCAGGGGACAGCTAAGACCCAGCACGAGAGTCGCTGCAGGTGCCTTCTTAGTTCTTTATAGAGATGTGGGTTCATTTCCTCCTCACTGCGGCCCTCTGGGTGCCTCATTATTCTAGACAGAGAGACCGAGGCACAGAGACATGTCCCTCACCAGAGGCCACACAGCCGGTCAGCAGCAACGCTCAGATTCAGACACGGGACGGCTGGCTCCCGGGGGCTACGTTCTTGACCGGCCCTGCGTCCCGGGAGCTGACACCTTACCGAGGTGCACACACGCCTGACACGGAGTGACATCTTCCCCGTGACGTGGGACTGTCCATTACTTGGCCTGCTCTCGTGCCACCTCCCCTGGTTTCAGGGAGAGCCCTGGGAGGGCAGGGGCTATGTCACACCCCTGCCCCACCTCCAGCACCTGGCCCAGAGCCCACACGCAGCAGCAGGCCCTTTAACAGATCTGCCCCGTGCAGGAGGCAGCAGCCAAGGATCCGACTCAGAACCGACAGCCACAGTCCTCGCGTTTCAAGCCTGCCCTGGCCTAAAGACAGGTTTGGGGAGTCCCCACCCGCTCAAGGGACCACCTGCCTGGTCCTGGCTTTTCTCAACTGGGGTGCTCTCCAGCATGTGGGCAGAAAGGCAGTTAAGGGGCTGCGATGGCCCAGCCCCCACCCTGAGGCTGCAAGGCAGGGGTAGGGGGTGTGTGCCAGCAGCTGGGCCAGCAGCTGTCCATGGGCCTCTGTACCGGCCCCAGCTGGCCAGCTGGGCCCCTCTGCCACCCCCCACCCCATGACGCAGCAGAAAGTGAAACCGCACTGGCCCTGCTGGCTGGGACTCAGTGTCCCCCGGCTGCTTCCCCGCAAAACCAGGGTCCTGGGGGGTTGGTGGCCCTGCACTGTCTGGCCCGCTGGACGAGCCTCCCTGTGGCCTAGGGTGCCGTGGCACCCCCACCCACCGCAAGGCTCCCTGCTTCTGTGTGAGGTCTCCTTAACTGGTTGGTCCCCCGCGGACCTGCCAGAGGCCTCCTCTCCTCACTTCCCCCTGAGGAAACCCGGGTGCAGAGAGGTGCCCGGCCAGAAAGGAGGGTGCTGGGTCACGTGACCCCAGGATGGACACAAACCAGAGCTATGGGTGGGTGTGGGGCAAGAGGGGCCTCTAGTGCTGGTGAGCAGGGATGGGTGGGTCCACCCCACTGCCGGGCCTCCCCCTCCCCCTCCCCCTCCCCCACCAGCTACAAGGTGCAGGGAATCCCCAGGAGAGAGAACAATTCCTTAAAAAGTGGATGTGAGACTCTACAAACTCCCATCTAGACTCCTGCCCCACCTGTATTATATTTGCTTCTTATTTTTCTTTTGAGAAACCCACTCTTTTTTGTTTACATAAATTGATGTGAAAAAGTTCTATGCTCCTACCCTAACTGGAAACCTAGCTGATTGCCACAAATGGAAATTAGCTGTACGAAGAAGTACCTATTAGAATAACATCTCTAGGGGCTGAGGCTGTAGCTCGTTGGCACGGTGCTGGCTCACCCTGTGTGAGACACGGGGTTCCATCCTTAGCACCGCATAAAAATAACCAAATAAAATAAAGGCATGCTGACCATCTACAACTACAAAAAAAAATAAAAAATAAAAAATAACACCTTGACCCAGTTACCACTCAAAATCATTGGGTATGCTCAAGAGACTTGAGAAACTTGTGAACCAACCTGTGGGTTTCATGCATGAAGAACTAGAGGCCCAGAGAGGTTGAGTCACTTCCCTGGGGTGACACAGTAAGACAATCACAGAGCTTGGGCTGGAATGCAGGTGTGGCTGCTTCCATAAACCTGTGCTCACTGCTAGGATGTTTCCCCCTCCCGTCTGAGTCGACTCCGTGTGTTAGGAAACGTTAGTATCCATCCTATCCAGGTTTCATGCATTAACTTCCCCATTTTCAAAATTTTCAAACCTTCAGAGCTCGTGTGTCACTTGAGCTCATGATAACACTGGCTGCGTCCAAAAACTTTTTGAGGATAGAGCAGAGGTGTGCCTCCCCGCCCAACTTGGCGGATGGGGAAACTGAGGCAGCGAGTGGGAAAGCGCCCTGTCTTAGGGAGCTGGCAGGAGGGCAGGACTGCCAGGGGCCCCCTGCCAAGGTGAAGATCCTGGAGGCCCAGCTGGAAGACCAGCCTCGTCAAACAGGTAGCGCTTGTTTTTATTTCTCCCCTGCACTCCCCCCCCCCAGCAGAGGAGGACTCCAGCCACAGCACCTTTTTTCCCAGGCCCCATCTCAGGCTGTGCGCCTGGAGGGTAAAAAAGTGTGTTTAGCAACCAGTGTGTGTGTGGATGGCGTCTTTTTGTGTCTCGTGGTACCAGTCTGAGCCCAGTGAGGGCAGAGCTCCCAGGGAGCCCGAGGAGCCATGGCAGAGTCTGGGGAAGACCTCTGTCTCTTTGAGCTGCTGGAGGAACTCAGATCGGCACATCTTCCAGGCCCAGGGACCCCCGAGGAATACTGCAAGAGCAATAAGGATTTTTAGGGGCATTATGATAGTGGAATGGAAACACATCTGCCCCCAAAAGTCCCTCATTTTCCCTGCGGTAACCAACCAGCCGGCAGGAAACGCTGGTTCTTAGAGCACCAAGAGCCAAGACTAAAAAGGAGAAAACGGACAAGGTTAGAGTGAGCTTCTACAGTGGGCCCTTCTGGGGAATGCGGGGGAAGGAAGCGTGTCAGGGTGGCAATCGTGGGCTACACGCGACTCCACGACGCAGCTTCAGTACAGAGGCGCCCCCTTCCATATCCTGAGGACCCCACAGCAGGTTCTGGAAACGGTCACACGGATTATTCCCTAAACTTGGGCCATCTGCAATGTTGCTCCCAGATGCCAAACGATCATTCCAAACCCTCATTCCAAACCCTCACTGATGATCCACGCCAACAACCAACCACATCCATCAAGATGCCCCCTCTGCACCGTGGGAAGGCGCTCAGCTTGGGGACCCAGGTGAAACTATCTGGAAGGTGAGCAGCTAGTTCCAAGGCCAGACGGCTCAGGTAGGGAAGCCTGATGGTTATCGCCGAGAGGGCAAAGTCACTGCCAAGGTCGCGGTGCTCCTCTTGTGCTGGCCACTAAGTTCTGAGGATTTAGGGATTTGGGGGACAAATGATCTCAGAGGTCTTTGCAGAGAAGTGTCCCTGAGGCCAGCCAGCGGCCCGAGGGCCCTGAAAGGGTTAACCCCTCCCAGCAGCTGACACCCGAGAGGAGGAGAGGAGGAGACTGTTCGCTGGCATATCACACTGGGCCATCTCAGAGAAGAGAGGGGCTCAAACAGCCTCTGTCAGTTCTGTGAATGGATGTGGCCTTATCGCCGTCAGAAGGAAAACGGGGTGAAAAGCCATCCCAGCACATTCCCGGGGTGCTCGCTGGCTCCCTGGCACCCGCCGCGTGGCCCTGAAGCTCTGGCAGAGACTCCAGGCATCTGGGCCAGGCCTGAGAGGGAGTGATCCTATCCCTGCCATGTGACGGCCCGCAACCCAGCCCAGATCTCCCCTTTCAGGCAGCACCTAAAATATTCCCTGGGTGAACCTGAGACTAAATATGGCATGTCCCACAAGCGCCGGGTGGGGACCTTTTAATGCCATCTTAAGATACAGTCAGGAACCCACGAGGCCTTTTGGTGGCCTGGAGTCCAGTTACCGGGGCCAAATGGGAGTCCCAGGGCTTTGGCTGACTCAGGGCTGAGCCCCAGCTTCCCGGAGCGGGCACGTTCAATGCCAAGGCACGGCGGGCTGTAAACCTTTTCCCTGTAGATTTTAGCCCAGAAGGCCCACTCTGGCCTCGCCCTCAGCCGACCCCCAAGGTGGCTCAGATGTGAGCCCCTTCTCTGTCCATCTGGCCCTCCTTCTGGGTCCTCCCAGGGCCCTCCAGGGCCTTCTCTGCATTTCCAGGCTCAAGTCCTGGCCCTGCTGGCCTGGATCTGCCTGCCAGTCTGATGACAGGAGTCGGCCCAGGTCCCAGGGTGGGTGGGAGGCTCCTGGGGCTGAAGAAAGATGGCAAACAACTGCATGGCCACTTAGATGTGCTCCAGGAGGCTGCGCCATGCTGCCCACCCCAGAGAGAAGGATCGCAGCCCTAGACAGAGGCTGCCAAGGCCCAGTCCACAGGGGAAGCCCTGTGTGCTCACAGTGGATCTGCTCCCGGCCTGTGGGGCGACCCCATCTGTTTCTGAGCATTTGGAAATCCGCAATGAGCAAAGTGGGGTTCTGCACACTGACCGCCAGATCACCAGGTTACTGCAGTCTCTGGGGAGGCTGCCCTGGGGAGCCAAGCAGCCCACCTCATGGCTGAACCAGAGGCCATCTTGGTCCTAGGAGGAGGGAGCTTTAGGCACCTGTCTGGGTTGTGTGTGGGCTTTTGGGCTCTAGTAATGGCGACAAGGCCATGTCTGGGCCTGGGCTGGCAGCGGTCCAGGCTGTCTTGGGCACAGATGCCAACAGGCCCTAGCACTGAGCTCAAGTAGGAGTCTAGCATCGAGCCCAGTTCGCTGCATGCATCTGAGGAAACTTCCACAGCCCGCTGAGCTGCTAACCAGGCCCGCACTGGCCACTGACTCTTCTCCCTGCCTAGGCCAAGTCCTCCAGAAAAGCCTAAACATGCCATGGCTCCCATCTCCCAAAGCATTTTAAAAGTGGCCTTCGGTGACACCTTGGCATCTTCCAGGGTTCCCTCATGCAGCGGTACACCCAGTCGGGGCCACTCGCCGAGGGCAATAGTTTACTTTGTGGTTCCAAAAACTCAAGATGTTTTATATAAGAAAGAGGATATAAAATCAGAACCTTTGTTTTCAAACGTTGTAAATATTTTCTGCATCCCATACGACTGGGGATATTGAGAAGGCAGCATCTGAACACGGACTGCTTTGAAAAGAGAACCTGAGGCCGGGAGGGGGGCTGGGTCTGGCAGGTGGGTGAGAGAGGGACCCCAAAGTCAACTCCCCGGAAGCTCCACTCTCTCCCTGGAAAGCCTGAAGTTGTTTACGTCACACCCTGGGTATCCGTGTTGTTGCTTGTAATTTATTTTCACCTCAATCCAAATCGAACAAGCAAAAAGAATTTTACATTTTCCTGTGTTCGGTGGGCAAGACAGAAAATTCCAGCATAAAGGAACTCTGATCAACCATGTTTTGTTTGGGCATACACACATTTTCTGGCAAATGACTCCAAATACAGAGTTTGTCTTAACTTTTCACTAAACTAATTTTTATCCCCAGGCCTAAAATAACTGTATTTTAAGCCACAGTCCAAATTAAGGGAGGGTGATCTACCCACCTCGGAAGCTCTAAGTTGATCAGCTCAGAATTTCTTGTTCTGAATGTTAGAGTTGGTTTGTGCCATCAATGCATGCTTTATTTTGAAGGAAGTATCTTTTTTTTTTTTTATTAGAGCCTAGTCTCTATTTTACCCCAAACCATACTTTTTCCCCCCTTCTATCAAAATATTTTTCCTGTATGCCTGGTGTATTGCTAAGAACTAAATTCAAAGTTGCTATTTTTGTTCTCTATCTCAGCACTTCTTTGGGGGTGGGGAAATAGCAACTACTTAATGAAATTTCACACACACAGAGGCAAAAGGAGAAAAGTTCAAATGTACTTAGCATATTCAACAGTTGCATGTTGGATATTTTTAAAATTATTATTGGGGGAGGGTGGCAGTAAAAATATAAAAATCAGGGAGGGTCCTTTGCTGAATTAATGAGGAGTCCTCCTTGCAAAATATTAATTTATGATCTCTTCTCTACACTCCTTTTCCTGTTTGAAAACTCAGGGGGTGGGGGAAGTTTGCTAAATGTATTATTCATAATTACATGCACGGTTTCAGAGGGCTGGATTTAGGCAATGCCTGTGCTTTGGGAACGCTCACCATTAAAGCAGAAATCGTTTCACATTTAGCACTAAATTCCGTCTGATTTTCCACACTTAACAATTCAGTAATTTTAACATTCGGCTTCATCGCCTCAATTATAGCTCAGTATCTTGGCGCAACGTTCAGTGTTCCGGCCTCGTTAATTCACGTAAAACACCCTATTTGTAGACGTATCATTAAAGGCTAATTTGGTGAGATATCCTTATTTAGCAAAGCAAATAGGATTTGACAGTCAGCTCGGGGTGGCGATTCAGCAAAGCACAAACACAATTCACAATGTGACAATTTCCCATGGACGGGCCACGCTGGAATTGTGGACTCCTGAAAATTGTGCTGTTTCATCGTGTCCCATAATAAAGAGAAAGAACTCTGCAAGTGAAGAACTTTTTGCTAGGACAGCACAAACCTCCCCTGTGTGTCCATGTGCCACGTCTATCAAATCGACACATCATCCACCCGGGGACTCTGCTGTTCAAAAGTTGTTCAGGGACAGCTCCATTTTCTATTCCCTGCTGTGAGCACTTCATTAAAAATAATTTAGGCTTCAGGGATGCCTATATAGGTTGCAAGTGGAGATCAGATTCAGTGAGAAGCACTACAACTTCATAATGTTCAGGTCCTGGGGTGGAGGGGGAGCATTCCTACTCCCCACTAACCTTGCCTTAGAGACTCCCCCTGAACACGTGATGCACACTTTATAAAATGCCTTCAACAAAGAGTCAGCAAAGAATTGTAAGGAAAACTGCGATTCCAGGTGGAAGCCAGAAGCAGCCTGCTCCCTTGAAATCTAATGTCATTTCGATTTATGAGCTCATGGGATTTTATTGAGGGGGTTTCAGACACTTGAATACAGCCAGCCCACGTGTCGCTCATCCCCCGCGGGTCCTGTCCACTACAACATCTCAGCAAGCCACCGTGCGGGTGGGTTCAGGGGGAGACCTTGTGCTTTCCACCTTCTGGTATCTCTTTGGCCTCCCGGGGAAGGAGAGGCCCTCGAAATCACAGCGGGCTCAGCAAACCGAGAAGACACTTGCAGATCAGCACGCCCCCGCCCACCGGCCTTTTACTTTTGGGAGAATGGGGAGCCTCCTGCTCTCCAGCCGCTCCACGCGCGCAGCCCCGGGGGTGTCGCTCTCGGCCCCCACCCTCCAGTGGCAGCCGGGGCCTGAACCGCTCGCTGCAGAGCATGACCCCAAAAGCGGGACTTTGTGGGCCAGTTGGATAAAACATAAACACATCTCGCCCTCAAAACCCCGATTCTGGGCCCACCGCCTCGGAACCTTCCTCCCGAAGTGAGTCCCCTTCACAGCTCACCGCGCGGGGCAGGCTGCCGACAGGCAGGATTTGGGAGAATCCTGGATAATTAAAGGAATCATGGCTGGCTGCCCCCTCAGGAAAACCAGGGAGTCGCTGTGGGAGGGAGGGGCGTATTTGTCCACTCCCTGGAGTGTCCTTCACCTCCGGGGGACAGCCAAACCCTCAGGCCTGAAAGCGTCCCCCAAATACCAGGGGCTCCCCCAAAGTCCCTTAGCAACGCATAAATCCAGTGTCTGAGGTGCTGCTTAAGCCCCACCCCCCACCCCCAGCTAAATAAAGTTTAGATATTTATGCCCTTAATTGTCACTCATTAAAGTCAAATTTGCTGCTCGTCCAGATTGGGAGAAATTATTTCCACCTTAATAGCTCGATTAGCCTTCAGGTTCCGGAAAGGCCACCCTCCCGAGCACACCTTTCCCCCCTACTTAACCCCCCTCCCTTTTTCACAACTTCTCCTAAAAATAAATTATAAATATGGATGTGTCCTCAGAGGATCCGAGCGGCACATTCCAACGCTCCCCTCGGTGGGGACTGGAAGCAGGAGAAACCAGAAACGCCACCCCCCTCCCAAATCAAAATGCCTTTTTTTTCCCCCTCTAACTTTTTTCTTTTGAATTCTAACTTGGCGTCGTCTCGGGTCCAGACATCCCGATCGGCACCCCGGAACCGAGTTCTTCTTTATTTTACTCCTGTCCAGAGAGGCTGAGGCCAACGTGCTATGGCCGCCTGCTCCCAGAGGGAGGGGGCGCCTAACTTTATTCTATGGGGGGGGGGGGCGGGGTAAGATGGTAACTCTCTGGGGACTGTCCTCCCGGCATTCCGGAGTCCCCGGGGCCGGTCCCCCGAGGCGCGCGCGGCCCCCGCCGCCCGTGCCACTCCGGCCCCGGGCGCACGTGGAGTGGGGCGCGGCGGGCGGGCGGGCGGGCGGCCTGCTCTCGGCACCGCATTGATATCGGGGTCACGCAGCGAGTCATTTTCCCAAACGGGCTTTCCGGGGTGGGGGCGGGGTGCTGGCTTTCTACCGCCTCGCTCATTTCCAAGCCCCGGCATTATTAGGGGGCTGGGGGGCCGCCTCGCCCCTGTCCCACCTCCTGGCCTAACACGCCCCTCTGGGGACAGGGCTGGGGTGGGGGAGCCCGGCCCCGCCGCCGGGGGTGGTGGCAGCGACCGCGATCGCAGCCCAGACAAGCGTCTCGCGCCGGGTCCCGGGAGAGCCGCGCGCTATCCCCGCCGCCACCTTCCTGCTCCGGTTCCCACCTCCCCCCACCCCCAGGCGTCCACCCCGCACCCTGCCGCGACCCGTGCCGGGGCTCGGGGAAGGGTGCCACGCGGGAGAAACCGGGAAGACTCACCGCCGCCGCCTCCTCCCGGGTGCGGGGAGCCCCCGGGGCTGCGCCTGCCAGGGCTCGGGGCAGGCGTGCGTGGGGCGGGGTGCGCCCCGCGGGCCCCGCAGCCTCCGCGGCGATCGGAGCCCAGCCTCGTATCCCTCGCCGCGGCGGGGCAGGGGGCACTTCCAAGGAAAAGCCGCCCCTCCCCAGACAAGATCCAAGTGATGGGCAGGGGGCGCAGAGAATCCTTTTCTGCAGAGAGCGCGGAGCCGACGGGGCTGCACCGGGCCTCCGCGGTCCGCGGCCGCCACAAAGCCGCGCCCCCGCCCCTCCGGCCCCCGCCCCTGCTCCCCGCCCCCCCAGCGCCCTATGGTCGGCCCGGGGCGGGGGCTGGGCCGGCCGGGTTGGCCGCGCTGGGGAGGCGGCGGCGGCGGCCCAGGCGGCGGGGCGGCTCCTCCCCGGCCCGGAGAGGGCGAGAGCCTGGAAGCCAGCGCGCCCGGGGGGCGGGGGAGGTGGGGGCGGGGACGGGGGGCCTTCCTAGAAACCCTCGCCAAATATAGTCTGCGGATAGGGGCATTCCTAGAAATGCGGCGGCGACGTCAGCCTCGACCCGTGGGGGCAGAGCCTGGGGTTCTCCAAATTGGGGGGACAGAGGAAAAGGGAGACTCCCCACTTCCAATGCCCCCATTGCTGGGAGAGGGAGCCGAGGCTAGGCTTCCCTCCTGGGGGGTGGGGGGGGCAAGATTCCTCCCAACGCACTGGAGGGATCCCTGAGCCGGGGTCGCGGGGGTGCCCGAAATGGGGACGCAACCACTTAAGATTCAGACCCGCCCCCAGATCTGCCCCCTTCTTTCGGGAACACCCACTGACGGCACCAGCAGGCGCTTTTAGCCCTTCCCCCAATTTCAGCACCCCCAACCCCCATGTACAAACAGAGGCAGGAGCAGCATCAAGCCAGGCGGGCCCCCACCTCTTCCACCCACTCCTCGGCATTCCCTAACCTCCCGGGATTCTGCAGCCCTCTGGAAACCCCAGGTCCGTCCGAAATCGCAGAACTCCCCCAAATTCCAAACCACCTTAAGACCAGAAAATAAAGTTGTGTTTCCTTCTCCCCAATCCAGTGTCACTTTGTTAGTGCTTCCACAGCCCCTGGCTTTGAGGGGTGGGCTGGGAATGGGTCGGGGATGGGGCCTGAAGGTCCACTTTCCACCTGACAGAGATCTGACCTCTGGCGCTTACAACCCCACGCCCATAAGGTACGTTTGGCTTCAGCAGTGAGGGGAATGCCACTCCAGCTCAGCCCCCGCCTGAAATCTGCCCCACCCACACCCCTTCCCAGGGATCCCCAGATCCATTGCAGAAGCCGCTGCTTATCCAAAGAGGATCCAAATAACTGAGACATGACTTGTCCCTTTCCACCGCCCAGCCTCTCTGCGCGAAAACGTGACTGGACTGAGCCTCCCAGGATCATAAAAAATGTATTTGCTGTCCTCTGTTGGCCAACGGGTGTCACACTCAGAAAACACATCACCCAACCCAGCTGGTGTTCTAAGGACTGTGGGGGAGGTTCCAGAGACCCCCTCCAGAAGGAGTGAGCCAGACCGCCCCTCCTCTCCCTCTGCCAGGCTGCACCACTGCCTGCTCTGCTACTTTGGGGTTCCTGTCATTGCAGTCCCTGCACAGGACTTTGATCCACAGGCCCTGTGGCTCCTGTCCCCTGCCCCCCAGGAGCTGTTCATCCAATAGCAACCTGGAGAAGGAATCTGGCAAAAGAGGGATAAGATCAGACCCTCTAAGGCAAAGGGCAGATCACCGATAACCACCCCCATCTCCTCCTGAAGACCTACTATGTGCCACGCATATCAACTGTTCTGAGAAGACCAAGCCTTAGAGAATCAGTTGTTCATTGGACAATTTGTCCTCTCTGCTAGGCACAGCTGACTCTGGGACCATGGTGAAAGCAAGACACGACCCTGACACAGGAATCTGTCATCTTAGGGGAGAGACCTGAGTCAACAGTATTTGTCATTGTGGTCCAGGATACTCACTCTGGAGCCTGCTTGTCTTGGGTCAGGGCACCATGAGAAATGGGGGCTGGGCGGGGACGTCCCCACTGTGGGCAGTCTTCATGGACTCACCAACCCCTCTTGGGGGGTCTGTTGCTATGTCCCCTCTGCTGTCTCTCACCTTGGGAGACCCTGGGCACTTGGTTTCCTCATTGGCAGTAGAAGTATGAGGCCTGGTTTAGAGGACTCAGGGGATGGAATGAGATGACGCCCTGGAAGAGTCATTGTAACAATGTTTGCTCACATTGGGCTCAAAACGGGGAAAACAGGAACCAAGCAAAGGAAAATACTGGGCCAGTGGGGGGTGGAGTCCGGGCAACAGGTACGGCAAGTGCAGAGGCCCCTTGGGCAGCTGAAGTAGCTCCTTCTTGCTGTGGTCGTGCTAGGTCAGGGTCCTGCATGGTGCTGGCCTCCTAGCACTCCCACATCTATACGCTGAGCCACAGGATTCTGGAATTTCATCATCCCCAGTCCAGCCCAGACCCTGGGGTTGGTTGGATGCTGCTGGAGGGAAAATCAGATTGCAGTCCACGCAGGGCCCTATGGGTCAGGCCCGGCTGAAGGCTGACCCTGGCCAGGCCTGCCTTGGTGGCCCATGACTCAGGCTGACGACTGGCCTGCAATTGTTAGGCGCTAGAAGTACCATAGACTCCTCAAAACAAAAGCTCTTTGGCTTGAAGCCCCAGAGGCCCATGCTGCCTTCTCCCAGAAAGAAGCCCCACTTGTACCCAGGTTCCTGGCCGGAGGGTGATGCTAAGGCCCCAGCCAGAATGGTGGAGAGGCCACACCAGGGAGCAGGAGCCCCAGAGAACTTGGCCTGAGCCTCGGGAAAGCCCTGGACTCCGGCTCTTGGCCTACAGAAAGACTCATGCCACCTCTCTGTGGCTTGGGGGAGGGGTCAGGAAAGAGCCCAGTATTCCAAGACTCCCACAATACAAAAGCAAATTTTAAAACGTCCAAAGCAAGCATACAAAAATCACATTTACATTGAACAAATGTAAACCTGTAAAAAACAGGCAGAGAGTGGTTTGTAATGCAGGTACATGAGATTCAGGATGGACAAGATGCATAGAAAACGGACCCTTATGTACCTCCATTGGGATCTTGGGACAGAGTTTGTGCAGGCTTGATGGCCCCCTGCCTCCCTTGACCCCTTCAGGAGGCTGTAACCATCTTGTGATCTCTTTGGGAGATAATGTGAAGACTCTAATCTAAAAAATCCTTCTGTACACAAGGTCTTAGGCAAGTGGCTTTCACTTGACCAGGTCTGAAGTGCTCTGAGAGCCAGGGGTGCCCCGCCCTGCCCCAGCCTCGGGCCCTCTGCAGGAGCAATGGAGGGCCTTTCCCTGTGCCTTGCCCACCTGCTCCGTGATGCTTGTGTCCCCCCCACCCCCGCCACTACATACAAGGGCGACAGAAATCCAGGTCAAGGGCAGCAAAGGAAAAAGACTCTGTCTCAGGTCCTCAGAGTCTGTGATGACAGGTGGGCAGAGACTTCAGTCTTGCATTTCTTTGTGAGGTTAAAAAAAAAAAAATCAGAGCAGGCCAGGCACAGTGGCACAGGCCTGTAATCCCTGCAAGGTGGGAGGCAGAGGCAGGAGGATCACAAGTTCAAAGTCAGCCTCAGCACCTTAGGAGGCCCTAGGTAGCTTAGCAAGACCCTGTCTCCAAATAAAAATAAAAAGGACTGGGGATGTAGCTCACTGGGAAAGCGCCCTTGGGTTCAATCCCTGGTATAAAAAAAAACAAAAAAACAAAAACACTCAGGGCAGGTTGGGGCCGTGGATGCCTCTGCCCTACTTGGTTGGCATCCGGGACAGACCCTATGATACAAATGATCTCTGATGGAGCCTGCGGTGTGCTCGTCCTCCCACACCCTTAAGAACCCTCCATCATCAGATCAACCCCATGAAGCAGGAACTGTTCTCTATGCCCCGTTGACAGATGAGGAAACTGACATCCTGGTGGTGAAGTCACTTGCCCTAGGTCCTCTGACAGGAAGTTGCTAGGAAGGCTGGGGGGGTCCTGTGAATGCTGCTGGCTCCCTGGCTCCCGGGTCTCAGCCCAGTGTGCAGCGCTTCCAGGGGGGCCTCTGGCCCAAGGCTGTCCACTCTTGCATTCCTTGCGGGACACTCGGTGGTGTATCATGGCAGCTTCCAGAGGTGGAGAGGCAGGTGGGGTTGCTCCCCCTTGGCAGAGAGAGGAAGTGACTTGGGCAAAGCCCGCTCTGGGCTTCCACATCTCTGATGAGACTCCCCCACGCCTCTGATGCTCAGATCCTCCTGGGAAACCTCTGTCCACCTCCCCCACCCCCCCACCCCCACCCCCGGACAGCTCTTCCTCACCCTCCAAACTCAGCCACGGGCTTTGCTTGGGCGAGTCCTCTCTGCTCACCTGGTGCTTCTGTCCCTTTCCGTGTGTATTTAGTAACCCTTTGCCATTTGTCTGTGAGCCCCCGGGGGCGTGGTGGCCATGGGTTCTCTCTCGCCGTCTGTACCCTGTGAAGCCCCCAGCAGGGCTCAGGGCAGACTGTCGGAAAAGGAGCAAAGTGGCAGGAGGCCCTGGGAGAGAGACTGGGCTCTGGGTCATGGTGACTTCCCCTTTGTGGGTCCCAAGGTTCCCAGGAGAACTCCAGGCCCGGAGTGACAGAAAGACGCGCTACTGTTTGGTGAGACTCGAGGGCCCCGGGTTCCTGGTGGGCTGGGACAGAAGTCCTTACCTGCTAAGGGGTAAGGACCCAGGCATAGAAGTCGCCGGTAAAGAGCCTGGCTTTGCCGGGGGGGGGGGGGGGGGGGGGGGGGAGGGGGGGGATCCCTCCATGAGTGGGACAAATCCAACGGCCCTCCTGAGTTTCAGTTCCCTTAGTGACAACCAGGGGGAAGTTAAAAGGATGACTCTGCGTGAGACCCAAGGAGTGCTTGTAAAGGTCTGGCGCATACTAAGTGTACTAAATTGTAGTACACAATTTACATACTAAATTGTGGCAATTGTCATCAGCAATTATATTCGATGATGATCATTTTATGCTATGGATAGTTTTACAATTGCAAAGACTTCTCCCTCCTCTCTTTAAAATGTGGTGGCTGATCCCTGGCATCCACTTCATCCCGCCCCCTAGTCCAGGGGAGTCAAAGTGGATGAGGCACTCGAGTGGCCTGACTGGCCTGTCCCTGGTCACCCAGAGACTCAGAATGGACTTCTCAAGAGTTTCAGCAGAGTGGTCGAAGTGTGTGGAGAAACCAGAATACCAGGAAGTCTGGCCTAAGTGGAAGCGAAAAAAAGTCAACTTCCCTATGGGCGTGGATGGCTTCCCTGGAACCCACGGGACGGTGACCACACCTCTGACTCTCAGACCAATGCCAGCGTCAAAATAAACGCTGGTGGATTTGGAGCGTTTTGCCCAGAGGTTGCAATGGGCAGAGCACAGGGCCAAATTGAGCCCACAGATGTGTTTAATTTGGCCTGCAGAGCATTTAAAATAATAATAATAATAAATTTGATTCAGTGGCCAATATTTTTAAATCAGGAAATTCCATATATATATATATATTTTTTTTAAATCCAAACTTCTGGCTTAAAAAAAAACATTAGATGATCTAAAGATTTGGCAGCAGAGGGCCAGCTTCCTAGAGGACAATGGTCAGGTGGAGCAGAACAGTGGCTGCTGCTGTAACAGCTAGCCCCCCATCTTTCGTTGGCTTAACACAGTGCAAGTTTATTTCTTGCTCATATCACAGTCCAAGGAAAGCGGGTTGGGGCATGATTCCCAGAAGGCCAGAGGCAAAAGGGAACATGGAATCATGGGAAGGGTCTCTTGTGCCCCAGTTTGGCAATTTGCTCAGCAAAACAGAAGCTGCTTCCAGAGGCCTGCCACAGTATTTTCTTTTAAGTGCTACTCGTGCCTGAAATATGGTTCTGGTTTTGAAATGTGGTTCTCAGCTCATGAACGTATACAAACCACTTGCTCCCTTAATAAGCATCCCATTTTTTTTTTTATTCTTTAATGTAGTTTTTTAAGCACATGATGTTACACCAGATGGGGGGGTGGCTGCCAAGGTAGTGTGGACTGGAGGCCTCTTCTTGCAGAGGGTCACTATGGAGCAAGATCGAGCTTTGTCACTGGGGACTTGGCATAGTCTCCATGCAAGCAACTTCTCTGAGTGAACAACCCTGCTCTCCAGAGGTCTCACAACTGTTGATTCTTTACATTTCTTCTTCTCCCCTCACCCTGCTCCTGTGGTTAACTTTATAAATTTGTACTGCAAAGGTTGTAAATAATAATTTAAAAAAAATCACAGTGCTTCTCTTGGCCATGATACTAGGAAAAAAGTAGTGATTTTCCCCTGCGATTCTTTCTTCCTCTCGTCACATGTAGGTCTTCATTATCGATAGCCTGCTGCATGGGGCTTCCTTGGCATGGAACTGGAATTTCTTTAGAGCCTAAGAACTCAAAACCAATGCAGGCACATACAGGTATATCTCTTGATAGATGTGGTTTTGTTTTTTGTTTTGCGGTACTAGGGTGGATCGAGGGCCTCACGCATGCTAGTCAAGCACTCAACTCCTGAACTACATCCCCAGCCAAAACGGGACCTCAAGTCACAGTTCCCTAAGAGCAATATATTCTGAAATCTGTTACCAACATAGTGCCTAAGAATCCATGCATGATAGTGTACAGTTAAAAATTCATTAAGAGAAATTATTTCATGTTAAGTACTTTCATCACACCAAAATAAATGAATAAATATGTTCACAGGGACTCAGGGAAACTCTCGGAGGTGATGGATATGTTCATTACCTTGTTTGTGGTGATGGTATCAAGGGAGTATGCACATGTCCAAGGTCACCCAATTGTGTACATTAAATATGTGCACTTTTAATGCATATCATCATATTTTATTCCTTTTGGGGGGTGCTGGGGAGGAACCCAGAGCCACTTGAATACTAGGCAAGCGCTCTACCACTGAACTATACATCTCAGCCCCTTAATGCATCTTTATTTATTTGTTTTAGTATTGGGGACTGAACCCTGGGTGCTTTACCACTGAATTACATCCACAGCTCTTTTGATTTTTTATTTTGAGACAGAGTCTTGCTGAGTGCTTAGGGTCACGCTCAATTGCTAAGGCTGACCTCAAACTAGCAACCCTCCTGCCTTGGTCTCCTAAGTCACTGGGATTACAGGCGAGCACCACTGTACCTGACTTCCTTAATTCATCTTTAAAAGGCAAGATCCAAAATATCAATTTCTCTTACTCATCTGCATTCATGGTTACCCCTTCAGGTCAATGAATCAGTCACTCTTTCCAAGTCTACCCGCAGGGCCATGAATGGCTCTTTACCAAACCATCCTGGCTGGTGGATAGAAACGTAGGATTGTCATTAGAAGTCCACGACAGAGAAAGCCAGTGAGTGTGTGTCATTCTGATTTTACAGTGGGAGAAATTAAGGTACAAAGAGATTAGGTGGCCAGTAGGAGATTCTTTTTTCTTTTCTTTTCTTTTTTTTTTTTAAGATGACATTCCATGCCATGGAACATGACACGTGGCCTCTCTTTTTTAAAAAATTTATTTTGTAGTTGTAGATGGACAGAATGCCTTTATTTTATTTGTTTATTTTTATGTGGTGCTAAGCATCAAACCCAGTGCCTCATACATGCTAGCAAGTGCTCTGCCACTGAGCCACAACCCCAGCCCAGTAGAGATTGCTCCAAGAGGTGTGGCCCCACTGAAGCCGTCTGGCTCTGCTCTTGCTTCATGCTGCCACTAGGTGTCGCTGTTGAAGTGGCTGTAGCATAGCCTCTGCTGGCAAAGTGGTGCTTCCTTGCTGACTCTGGGGTGCTAGTGGGAACCTAGGCTTCCTCGGCCTCAGACACCAAAGGAATTGTTTCTCAGGCCGCAGCCTGGTGATCTGTCTCAGCAAAACTCAAGTTGATGCCTGCCAATGATTGACCTTGGATAACAGGGAGGGAGGTCGGAAGCACTTCTCTCCCAGTTAGCCACAGGCTCTAATGCACATCTACCTTCTCACCATGGCTGGTTCTCTTCAGGTTCTGTCTCTCCTGCCTCTCTTCCCTGCCCCACCCCAGCACCAGAGGCCTTCTTACCTTCCCCTTACCTATCTAAAAGAGATCTGGGGTGGGGGGAGCTGGGGGTGCTGCTCACTGGCACGTGGGAGGCACTGGGTTCAATCCTTAGCATCACATAAAAACAAAAGGTATTGTGTCCATCTACAACTAACTAACTAAACAAATAATAAATAAATAAGAGACCTGGGAAGTGATTCTTCAAAGAACAAAGGCAGCTGACTCCAAAGTGACCTTCAGACATGAGATTCATACAAAAGTTATAGAAATCCAAACATGACTTTATATATTCATGAGCACAAGTGGTTTAAATAAACACAACACATCTTGCCTATTCCATCACATGATCAGCTTTATTCATCGAAGTGTAAACGGAACTTGAATTCAGGATTTTGCTCGCGAGTGTCTGATTCTATGGCGCCTGCCAAACTGGTTTTACAGCTCCATGGCATCCCCAGATGTCCACCAGAGGTGACAGCTTTGGGATTTGTGCATTACTTCCAGGTTTAAAAATGAAAAACAAACAAAACAGCAAGCACTTCTCCATATGTGAATTTATGCCCTTAGTTACTTCATGTAATTTTTGTCTTTGCATGTGTGGTGTCCAGGGTACATGATAAAAATTGCCTTTTGCTAAAAAACATTCTTCACCCAAGACAGAGAAGCAGGGGTGTGAGAAGGGAGGGGTGCAGTGGAAATCAGGGCAACAGCACCATGCTTTGTAGATACTGGCCCACCTGCCCAGAGCAGAGGTATTTTTATTTTTTTAATGGGGAGGAATCTTAGGGGACAATCTTTTCTTTTTAATGATTTTTTTAGTTGTAGTTGGACATAATACCTTTATTTTATTTATTTATTTTTATGTGGTGCTGAGGATCGAATCCAGGGCCTCACATGTGTGGGGGGGTGCTCTACTGCTGAGCCATTTGGGGGACATTCTTAATGGGGGAGAACATAAAGAATATAAATGCTCTTTTGTGGCTCTTTTCAAAAAAAGAAGAAGGAGGAGGAGGAGGAAGAGGAAGAGGAAGAGGAAGAAGAAGAAGAAGAAGAAGAAGAAGAAGAAGAAGAAGAAGAAGAATGGATGCACCAGTGGAGAGAGCAATCATTTGCCTATCTTAACTCTGGATTGTTCTAATTTGCCTGTGTTCCATCTGATAGGCTGTGTGTGTGTGTGTGTGTGTGTGTTTTCTTTCTTTTTTTTTGCACTAGGTATTGAATAGAGGGGTGCAGGGGTGCTTAACCACTGAGTCACATCCCCAGCCCTTTTAATTTTATTTTTAAATTTTGAGACAGGGTCTCGCTACATTACTTTAGGGCCTCACTAAGTTACTGCTGGCCTTGAACTTGAGATCCTCCTGCAGTGTGCCCCACCATACCCAACAGTGACAACTTCCTCCTCCTCCTCCTCCTCCTTCTGTTTCTTTGATAGGGAGGATTTGTAGGTGACAAATTACC